GTTATATGATATCAGCGGAGAGGATCTGTTCACCGTTGTTGGGATACCCATAGAGAAGTTGGATCGATTCTTATGTATTTCCCTATTTTATATTGTGGATTTCGTCTTCACATCGTTCTTTGTAAGGGCTGGAGAGTTGTGGAATAATGGTCTACTTCTTTATTAGTACTACTCTAATAATAGATCTTATCCTAGAATTGTACATTTGTCATGATGTAACTGCTTGATTTATAAGGTCTTAGGTGGAAATCACATCGTTGTCTATACCGACTCATCGTACGCAACAATCACCAATATATTATGGAGAATCGTTTGTCAAAATTAAGTTGGGGATAATAAATATCTTGCTTACATGGAAAAATTTCCGAGTCGAATGTTTTAGTCACTATCGCTTTGGTGGAGCTCCAAGAAGCTGAATATTTTTTGTTTGTTAATAATTTCCAAAGACTGGTAAACGTCATTACTACTCAGGCAGTCAATTAAGCACCTTATTTTTTTTAACTTTTTAGGGATATTGAAACTTTTCTTCGTAAATTATTTTCAATACGTATGTAAATATGAATTTGGTGGCCCTCTATCTAACTCGTGTTCGATTGTATGATGCTTATTATCGGAATATACATACCACCAACCCTTGTATATAATTATCGTCCCGAATTACGGAATAAAAGAATCCAAATACGAGAATGAAGTTTGATAAAGTATATTTCGTAAAATTGTTGATCTGGACAGACATTCATAGTGAGAAGCAAGGAAGCGAAGTGGATCGGGGAACGTAAATGAACCAATTTGTTTTGATAACATGTGACGAAAATAAAATACAGACATGTGATGAGTAGGGCAAGCAATTCACACATATATGCTTACATAAAAATAGTCAAGGTTAATTAGCGCATAATTAACAAGGTCAAAACCCAAATCAAGAGAAAGGAATTAATTTGTCTGTCCGGAAGCTAGACAAACCCACTCTAGCTTGATATTGTACTAGGCACTACACAAACATAAACTCTCGGTCATCCGGATTTATATGCTTTTGTTTTACTAATAATATGGTTTGTCGTGAATGTGCCATATTCAGAAGTACCATATTTCTTGATCCCATAAACAAATACTAGAGGTTAAACGTTCTGGAGCAAGAGAGAAGGTCCTGGTTTCAAAACTCGCGTGAGGGATCGTAGAAGTACACTGTTAACGAGGACTACCATATTAGGACAAACCGGCCGTTAAGTACTTCCAGGTTTGATATAACCGTCTAACATTGGCTGATTCATGATCTCAATCAAAACTTAACAATCTCCACAACTCCATACTGATAAAAACGTGTCAGATAGTCAGACATTTTTCAATGTTCGAGATCGATGTTGTTTATAGCTAATCAATTTTTATCAATGAATGTCACCAAACATAATTAAGAATTATAATGCTTGAAGTGACTACACATTCAACAAGTCTGTGAACAGAACAAAGACTTGTGATCAAAGACCGATAAGCTATCTATTCTGGCACATCCCATACTCACTAACTAGAGTTAGAAGTTCAAGTTGGAAGTGGGTAAGATATATTCCATAAGCAGTCAAAAGCACAAGCAATCACAACAGGTACCAATCAAACGTATATATGCAGCGTAAAATTGTCCTTGGGAAGCGTTATAAAATAGCATACTAACAGATACAGCGGACCAATAGCGTTTAAGATTTTCCAATGTGAGAAATACAACATTGCATTGAAAAGACCACTTTCGGTATGAAAACAAAGAAATTCGAATTTTCAAAATAAAATTACAAAAATAAGTCATTTACCAAGTGATTTCTAGGGATATAACATACAGGGTTTCCTGTTGACCACCTCCAACCACCATCTTATCTCAACATAGTGCACGTACTATCGAGCCACCAAGACTAGTGGCCACATTCCAATTTGATCGATAGCATTTGATCAGCACTAAGAAGGACTTGACACTCATGACACTGATCACCACCCAGTGATCAATTAATTGTGAATACATCTCAGTCCTACAGGAGGTCGGTCGCAGCCCGAATAGCTCAGTTGTAACGTTTCTAACTGTGAAGTTCAGTGACACCAGATGGAATCGGTCAGGGAGCATCAGTTCAATCAAGATTACAGGTACACATTGCTGACCAGTGCCAAGTAGCACGAAACCCGAGTCCAGGGTTTCCTGTTGACCACCTCCAACCACCATCTGATCTAACATCCTTAACAATAATATTCTTTATTCTTTATTCATTTGAATACACTATATCTGTTGTGTAGACTATGTTATGTAATTATTTGATTTTCTTAAAAATAAAAAAGTCACATCAATTGAAAACGATTACTTCAACATGTAAAATTCTTTTTCTAAGAAGTATTATTTATATAAGCAAAGATGGATAGTGGCTAGCAGTGGAATCCAGGACGCACGTTTCATCCTATCCACTACCCATCTTTGCTTACAATGCCTGTGAATCAAGGCTATATTGAGGCAATACTCACAATATGCACATATGCCAATAAGAGACTAATCAGTTGCAGTCCTAAACATCAACGGGAACATTCAAACCAACAATACTAAGTGAATTTAAAACTTCACCCCATTGCACAAGCAAGTGACTATGAGGACTCATTGGTCGAGTGGATAACGTGATGGCGTTTGAGGCGAACGGTACTGGGTTGCAGTCCCACAGTGAACATCAATTCCGAGATGCAGCTACATCCAACTGACCAGTCCTAAATAGGACGAGACGCGCGTCAAACTGGATTCCACTGTTAGCCACTATCTATCTTCGCTTACCATCTTGGGAATCAAGGCTGTATCGAGGCAGTGCTCACAATATGCACATATACCAGTATGAAACTGACCAGTTGCAGTCTTAAACATCAATGGGAAGATTCAACCAAACAATACTAAGTGAATTCATTATTTATATAGATTTGATATTTTAAACGAATAATGTCTAATTTCCTTGAATTGTTTCATAGGAAAGTTTTAACAGTTAAGCTTCAGCTTATTATTATCATTCACAAGCTATTTTCTATAAGAGTAAAGTAGAAAGATTCATCCTCTTATTATCATCTATGAATTCATTTCATTTTGTATATTCTCTTTCAACATGTAAACAATAGTATGATCCATTATGATTTATACAGAGATTGGAACCCAGGACCTTTCAGTTTCGCGCGCGAACGCTTACCCACTAGACCACTGAGCCGGCATCCAACGGTGTTAATGTCTAACTTCAACCAATCCACGAAATTGAGGGACACATCCACAAATGTCTTCAATGAGTTGCTATCTCACAACAGACCTGGTTGAACTCCAGTGGTCACTGCTTCTCATTAGAACTCGAGGAAATACCTCATGCTGCCAGTCACTAGTGAGCATATGTTGATTATTATCAGAAGGGAATTTGTGGATATTATTGTAATTTTGTTAGTTGAGATCATGAATCAATTGAAGCTAGACCACAATGAAAAACCTGAAAGCACTGTAAAGCGGGATCGTGGATGCTCACTGCTCAGGAGTCTCATAATACGACAAAACGGTCGTCCAGTTCTCCCAGATTGGTCTAGCTTTAATTGATTCATGATCTCAACTATCAAAATTATTATTCCTAATGTGAGTAGGGTGGTTTAATCTTTTTCTATTGTTAAACTTCCGTTCATTTCGTATTCCTTCTGTAAGGATGGCTCGTTGGTAAACTCTAGGAAGCCTCCAAGAAGCCCAGGAAGAGCCGAAGACATTCCATTCAATTACGGCTAGGGGAATATTCTAGAATGTTGACGTGTAGCTTCCCCATTCAATGGATAAGAATGACCCCCTATGTGCCTATTGGTTGACCGAAATGATGATTTACTTTCAGCCAATAACTATAAATCCATGAGATTTCTGACACTGTTTTGGGGAATAAAGTTCCTACTTACTAGTCTTCTGTCTTCTCTTTTGCGAAGTCGCGGGTTCAGTCGTTCAAGTAGTCTAGTAGTACGCGGCATAGTAAAGAACCAAAGCTTTAGATATAATACCTTCATTTTATTTTCCATAGAAATAAAGGTGAAACAGTGGTGTAGTGGTTAAATTACTCTGCTTATAGGCACTATGTAGCAAGTTCAAAGTCCCCCTTCATCTACTTCAGTCTGATCAGTCAATTATTGTTTGTAGTATTGTAGTGAACGAGAACATAACTGAGGACAAGTGAATGTAATTGGACACAACATTACAGAACATCTTGATAAAATCTTAGAACCATAAAGTAAATACCTAATTTGTAAAATGTCAATCAATTGTCTCTAACTTGACTGTTTTATTTGCATATGTCAGTCAATCATCTTAGACTTCATTGTTTGTTTTTTAGTTTCCACATCAATCATTCTTTGTTCTCACTCTCTTTTCTTTGATCTTTTTAATCTTCTGTCGTCATACACTTCATTTTCGATTGATAATACATACTACTTATAACTGTCGACGTCAGCAGCACATACCGTAGTATTACTTTCACTCTTACAAAAACACTGTAATTCAAACCTAATTAAATAAAAATCTGTACTAATTCGATGGTTTTAAATTCACTTAGTATTACTTGCTAGAATCTTCCCATTCATGTTTAAGATTGCAGCTGGTCAGTCACTTATTGGCAAATGTGTATACTGTGCGTATTGCCTAGATATAGCCTTGATTCACCAGCATTGTAAGTAAAGATGGATAGTGGCTAGCAGTAGAATTCAGTTTCATGAACGATTCTTCCTATTTGGGACTCGTCATCTGGATGTACCTGCATCTCAAAGTTGATGATGGTGTTTGAAGCGAACGATACTGGGTTCGAGTCCCAGAGTGAACATCAACTCTGAGATGCAAGTACATCCAGCTGACCAGTCCTAAATAGGACGAGACGCGCGTCAAACTGGATTCCACTGTTAGCCATTATCCATCTCTGCTTATAATTCGATAGTTGTTCGTATATGATATATGGGAATAGCAAAAAGAAAAGCAATGCAAATTAATTTATTACACTATTACATATTTATTCACTGTAAGATATCAAACTGTTATTTGTTACATTTTAAAAGATACAATCCTGAATGGTTGGTAACCAGTCGTGCCAAATATAAAAACCTAAAATGAAAATACTATTCAATTATTAAACTTTCTTTAAAATAAATGATAACAGTTATATTATTATAGAATACACCTATGACATAATTCATTTAAAGCACCCTATAATGTACGATGGGAATTCTAAATAGATTCAGCTTGTCTTTTTCCCTAGGTCATGTGAACTGATCTCAACCAGTCAGTGATCTTGAGTAGTGTTATAGGTGTGAGGGTGGTTATCACTTCCCAGTTGCTCACACTATGGAAGGGATCTTCGTAACATGTCTGAAAAGGAAATTGGATTAGAAGTGGTCTTAGTGACATGTGAGCGTGATCGCTGTGCTCAAAGGACAACTGATTCAGGTCGGTCACATACGATTTTAATGTCGGTAATTTTTGTGTTAGCTCCGTACTTGTTGGGACCTTACCTCCAGAGACGGAAATCCGTGGGATAAGTTGAGGTCTGCATTTTTAGGGTCGATCTTTTCTAACCCCACCCCTCCTTGTAAGAAGGAAGCATCGCTGTTATGCTGGTTATCTGAAGAAAACAACTTACTGCCGTTACACCTCTGTACAGTCATCAGTACGACTTTGCCCTCGGAACTTAGATTTGCTGTGTTAAGTCTTACAGCTCTTCAATCGACCTGTCTAGCATGGTACGAACTTGAGGAACTATTGTTCCAGCCAGTATGTCTCAATTGGTTCATTATGACGGGCAAGCTCGATCACCACGTCAAGGTATCAGCAACGGTCTAGATTTAATTGATAATAAAATTATAAATTTATGTTTAATACTCAAAATTACCCCGATATATAACATGATTTCTGAGTATTTATTGTTTCTGTTTTTGAGAATTGATATCAACTAAGATACTTTTGAAAATGAATGAGAAACAAATGATAATATCTTTCTATTTCGTGATTCCTCTGGAATATTGCCGCAAAAAACTACCAGAGATTGAATCCTGAAAGTGGTGAGTGAGTTACTTTTAGTTTTATAGTACCAAAACTATAGCATCCAATGCCACTGGTAGTTATTTTCTCAATTACAACCTGATTTAACTTCCCTGTTATAGAATACAGAATAGAACTCTGTATATTTCATCGAAAACTTCGACATCTGAGGGAAACACGGAATACAATTGATATCTCAGAATCAATTAGATGATTTGGACTTCGCAGATAACCTAGCCCTCCTCTCTCATACACACGAACAAATTCAGATGAAGAAAGCAAATGTAACAGCAGCCTCTGCATCAACAGGCCTCGACATACACAAAGGAAAAAGCAAGATTCTCAAATGCAACACGGAGAACACCAACTCAATCAAACTTCATGGCGAAACTCTGGAAGAGATGGAAACATTCACGTACCTGGAAAGCATCGTTGATGAACAAGGAGGATCGAATGCAAATGTAAAGGCGAGGATTGGCAAAGCAAGGGCAGCATTTCCACAATTGAAGAACATATGGAACTCAAAACAACTGTCAGCCAACATTAAAGTGAGAATCTTCAATACGAACGTCAATGCAGTCATGCAATAGGGGGTTAAAACGTGGAGAACTACTACATCCATCATCAAGAAGGTACAAGTATTTATAAACAGTTGTTTACGCAAAATACTCAGCATTCACTGGTCGGACACTATCAGCAACAGCGTTTTATGGGAGAGGACAAACCAGCCTCCAGATGAAGAGGAAATTAGGAAAAAATGTTCGAAGCAGATCGGACATACATTAAGGACATCACCAAACTTCATCACGAGGCAAGCCCTAACTTAGAATCCGGAAGGGAAGCAGAAAAGTGGAAGGCCAAAGAACACATTACATCGGGAAATAGAAACAGATATGAAAAGGATAGAAAGAACTTGGAAGGACTGCGCAGGATAGAGTTTGATAGAGAATGCTGGTGAGCGGCCTATGCACCTCCACGAGGGGTAAGAGGCGTAAGTAAGTACATTTTATTGAACTTCAGTCACTCTTGGAGTATAATAAATACATAATTATATTTTAGTTTTAGTTAAAGATTTAAATTACTTAGGGAACCATTAAAATGTATACAAAGTAGCATTAATACTATACGAGATTTAGAAACCATAAACTATAATTGTAAGCAAAGATGGATATTGGCTAGCAGTGGAATTGAGTTTGACGCCCATTTCGTCCTATTTGAGACTCACCAGCTGGATTTATCTGCATCTCATAATTGATGTTCACTCTGGGACTCAAACCCAGTACCTTTCGCTTTAAACGCCATAAGTTATAGTTAGTTCACCCCTTATAATATTTCCAATGATAGATTATTTCATTAATAAAACAAAAAAAATATGTACCTAATAACATTTATCTTCTTCTACCTACCTTATTCGTTATAATGTCCTCTTCTATAGAATTGTGGATCATTTAATACTCCTTCATTTTCATAGGTATCTTCATTCTCATCATAATCACCAGCTCCATCTTCCTCCTCGTATTCGTTATCATCAAGTGAATCAGTTACTAGATCATTATCGTCATAATGGTTTGCATGAATTGCATCTATTTTACATTGAATCAAGTAAACAAATAGAAATGAACGGTACAACTTTAATATATTTCTTTTTAATGAACCTGTTTTACTATTCTTAATATTGTTCTCACATAAATATAATGGTCAATATAAGCAAAGATGGATAGTGGTTAGCAATGGAATCCAGTTTGACGCGCGTTTCGTCTTATTTGGGACTCGTCAGATGGATGTATCTGCATCTCAGAGTTGATATTCACTGTGGAACTCGAACACAGTACCTTTCACTTCAAATGCCATCACGTTATCCACTCGGTCATTCATCTTTGCTTACAATGCTTGTGAATTTAGGCTATATTGAGGCACATATGCCAATTAGAGACTGACCAGTTGCAGTCCTAAACATCAATGGGAACATTCAAACAAACAGTACTAAATGAATTTATAATGGTCAATAGTTTAGAATTAACAATATGATAATAATGTTGATTTGTATTAAGGTAACTTGCATAAACCTCTTTATCTAGGTCTTGTACAAGTTGGTAGTTATTAGAAATTACTTAATACTCCTAAGGATACCTAGCCTACCTAGCCTGTCGTATGCCCTGTTGGTGTTCTCGTGACTTTCGAGTTGCCTGCTGTGCCAAGGGCGATGGGACAGTGCATGACAGTATTGTTGTGTGCTAGGTTCAAAGAGAATTGTTTCCTATATACATGTAAGTCCGCCCCTTTATTGTTCCTACTCCTAAGGATGCTCTTAACCCATATGTCCTATCTTCACAGTTAGAAACATTATCAATAAGCTGCTCCATATATAGTTTTTCTTTAAGACAAAAATGATTGTGTACTTAATATTAGCCAATGTCAGTGTTATGTAGTCCCTTCTGACAAATGTGCAACCAAACTTTGCTATAAATTGGGTATAAATTAGATAAGTGGGAAATAATCTACTGTACTTGACTGTTTGTCTGTATTGCTTACCATCTGGATACTTCCTAAACTTCTATCAAGGATCCTGTTCAAATATCATGACATGACGGTAAAGATTTTACAGAATCATAAATCATATTATTCAATGACATGAGTATTTAAGTAGCGCGAATCGATATTTAAATCCTATCAATAAGATGATAGAGATCTGTAAGTTTGTCTGAAGACAGACATAAGAAGAATAAACAAAAACTGGATAGAACTAGAAAGGAAGGTACAGGACAGAGTGGGTTGGAGAATGCTGGTTGGCGGCCTATGCTGCATTGGGAGTAACAAACGAAAGTAAGTAAGTAAGTAAGATCTATAAGTTTATTTAGTAGCAAAGCTACCCTTTACTGATCTATAACACTTGAAACTTACAGTTTACCTACCTAATTTATAATCTAACAGTCTCCAAATAATTGACTAGTTTCATATGAGCTAAACTATTGTTTTGAAATCAATATTACCTAGAAACTCGACATTACCTGGAACGTATAGGGAGAGATGTCATGTGAATGAAGGCTTTGGACTAAGTTTGTAACTGACTACTCATCTTTGACTTTTATCTGAAATATTAAGGAAACTGGCATGTTTATTTTACAGTCAGTAAATCTATCTTTTGAACCTTTCGACTCCTGAATGACGCTCCTCCACTAGGGGTAACAGTACTCCCAGATGAAATCGACTAATTCATGGCACTAATCTCGCACCAGAGCACTTAACCGATACGCACTGCTGAAGAGTCACACAATAGGACGAAACAGTCGCCCAGTGCTTTCATGTTTTCCATGGTGGGTCTAGCTTCAATTGACTCATGTTTTCAATTATGTAATTACTAAATCTCCACAAAAATTCCTTCTAAGTATTTCAATAATTGAATATTAATTAAAGTTTGTTTATTGATGTGATTATTTCTAGATTAACCAATGAAACATTTGACTAACAATTTAAACAGTAGAAATTTCAATTCATATGATATTGTTTTGCTTATATCTTCCCAATAATGTTTAGGATTACGATTGATCAGTCTCTTGTTGGCATATATGTATCCTCCTATGCGGATGGCCTGAATATTGCCTTCAGTCAGTCAAAAAGATGAATGATGGCTAACAGTGAGATTCCAGACTAGCGTTTCATCCTACTTTAGAACTTGTTAGTTGGATATACCTACATTTCAGAGTGCCGAAATGAACATTAACTCACTTATTTCATTAGCTTTACTTCATGAAGAATTTATATAGTTTGCATAACAACCTATCATCACTTAGAAGAAATATGAAAATATGATCAGTATATTAAATAGCTAATTGTTTCTTAAATCATTTATAGTTATATATAATATACCCTTATGGGCAAGGGTAATTTTGTATTGGTTTTCAGGAGAACGAGACACCAACCAGACTTACACGTGATAACCTATACAGTACGGCTCAATCCTGTTTAACAGAAAAACCAGACACTGCCCTTAGGCTTAACCCTGAGCAGTATAGCTCGATCCTGCCCCACAGGAGAACTAGACACCATCTTCATGCTTAACCCGAGCAGTATAGCTTGATCCTGCCCCACAGGAGAACTAGACACCGCCCTCAGGCTTAACCCGAGCAGTACAGTTCAATCCCACCTCACAAGAGAACCAAACACTAGATAGGATTCAACGCTACAATCTGAACAGTACAACTTAATCCTGTGACTCAACCACACAGGTACTAAGCACACTGATGGATCATCTTCAAACCTTTTTTGCATACATATAAATCATCATCAATGTTATAAACTTACGTGAATAATTAACATTGATCATTAACATCATCATCATTATGACTGCCAGTAGTGAAGTATTCTGTAAGCAGTTGTATTTCATCTTTAGTCAAATATCAAGTTGCTCTTTTGTTTCTCAAATATTGAAAATTCTAAATATAAATATTTATTTATTTAATCCCCTTTTATACTCATCATAGCCAAACAATATTTATTATCATTACTATTACTATTAATAGTAGTAATAATAATAATAGTAATAAACAAGTGTTGTTTAAATACATTAACGAGTTTTGTTCAATATTCAATTAATCAGTTAGTTAATTATCGGAACTAAGATCTTCAAATGAATATCAGGACATTTTGATAGTAGTATAATCATAATCATCATCAGAATAATCAGAATATAATTACAAACAATAATTAAGTTATTTTTAATTGTTTAAAATGATTAAACACCGGATGTGACTTTTTTAGGGGGGGGTCTTTATCATTTCAATAAAGATAGATCTATTATAAATTGTAAAAATAGTTGAATTCATGAGTCAATTAAAGACAGACTGGTAGTACTGGACGATCGTTTCGTCCTATTGTGGAACTCTTGAACAGTGCACATCCACAACCTCGCCTCGCGAGATTCAAACCTAGGACCTAACAGTCTCGCGTCAGATCACTTGACTGATCAATGCTTCCAGGTTTTTCTTGGTGGTCTAGCTACAATTGACTCATGTTTTCAATTATGTAATTACTAAATCTCCACAAAAATTCCTTCTAAGTATTTCAATAATTGAATATTAATTAAAGTTTGTTTATTGATGTGATTATTTCTAGATTAACCAATGAAACATTTGACTAACAATTTAAATAGCACACATTTCAATTCATGTGATATTGTTTTGCTTATATCTTCCCATTGTGGAGAATTTAAGTAATACAACAGTTGAATTCATGAAAACACTGGGAGCACTGAATGGTTGTTTCGTCCTAGTATAAGACTCCTTAGCACTACGTAATCATAATCCCTCATGTGAGACTTGAATCCAGAACCTTTGGTTTCTTGTGAGAACGTTTAACCTCTAGACGAACTGAGTAGTGAATGACTGTTTCGTCCTAGTATGAGATTCCTCAGTAGTATGTAAACACAATTCCTCATGTGAGACTTGAATCCAGAACCTTTGGTTTCTTGTGAGAACGTTTAACCTCTAGACGAACTGAGTACTGAATGACTGTTTCGTCTTAGTATGAAACTGCTCAGTAGTATGTAACCAAAATCTCTCATGTAGGATTTGAACCCAGGACCTTCGGTTTCTTGTGAGAACTCTTGACCTTCAGACCATTGAGTCGACATCCAACTGTATCAATGTTTAACTTAACAATATTAGAAAACATACAAAATAGAACATATAATACTGCTGAATTTTATTCTATATCATAAGTTTATGTCATTTGATGTAGATTGAATGGTTGCCACTGATGATACTGAATATTTATTGAATTATATCTCCAATTGATTGAAATTAGAAATCTAGAAAGTTGTGTATCAAATTAGAGATCTAACAAGTTAAAGTGTTCACTATGAGACCGAACGATTATGAATTCATTCCTGAGAGTTCACATTGGCATTCATTTGGTGAAACAGTTACATAATAACTTCGTGCTTTCACTGGTGCTTCAATCCATAATGAATATTACATATAAATTACTTATACATGTCAAAAACTTCCTTTTACAGATGAAATTCGTTACTTTTTTTTATTATAGTTGAAGGCATGAGTCAATTGAAGCTAGACCACCAAGGAAAACCTGGAAGCACTGGACGACCGTTTCGTCCTATTGTGGGATTCCTCAGTAGTGCGCATCGGTTAAGTGCTCTGACGCGAGACTGGTAGGTCCTGGGTTGGGATCTCGCGAGTGCGGGATCGTGGATGCACACTCCTGAGGAGTCCCATAATACGACTAAATGGCCACAAAACTACTTTTCTTTATTGTTAGTAATATAACTTAAAATTGCGATAAAGATCTTACTGTACAAATAGATAATTTCAATGTTTTATTCTTTGAGCATTATAACTGATTTGTGCATTTTTCATCATAATTATAAATAATATCATCAAACATCAATTCAAACACACGTAATTATCTATCATACATAATTAGAACAAGAACTGCAATGTTGGAAACATATGTACTAAAGAAATAAACTTTATCAGATAAAATAGTAAGTTATAACTCTGCCTGTAGCTCCTCCGGGGACTACTGCCGGTCCCAAGCCCGAATAAAGGAGGAGGGTTGGGCATGGTGTTAGCGACCCCATCCCTTAGAAAACTAACTCGCTAAAAAACGCTAACCGGAAATCAAATTTTGTGAAATATCGTAGAAAGAATTGAAAAGATTATGAAACCATTTAGAGTCATTCTTGCTTATTGATCAACATTAAAACCTCATTCCATTTTCTCTGTTGATCTACTTATATACAAATACAGAATAGTTATGAAGAGACAATGTATCTCATCGGCGACAACTATAGACACGAATTCCAATGAGAAAGTTTCAGAATTCTAAATGAAGGATATTGCAAGAATCCCATAGTATTTCTAGATAGATGGCATTTAGGAAGATTTGCGATAGAAAAACACATCGACATAGATCCATTTTACCAATTGATGCTTCTGCCAGGGAAGTCCTACTCACTGAATTCTCGTGGCATTACTGTTGTTTACGAAATCGATAGGACGAAAAGCGAATGTTCGTAGCTTTAACCGGGTTGATGGACACGGAAAGTTCACCTAGGGGAGTTGGAAAACCCTGACTCTAAACCAATGGTGCATATGTGCTCCAGTATCCTGAAGGAATAAATGAAGTATGAATCAATCGTTGGTCACCGGCTACCATGGGACTGCATCTCCTCACTATGCTCTACTGCCTTATGGATCAGACCTTTAGGTCAAAGGTTCCGGGTGTGGCCCCCAAAGAAAAACACCTGCTTTAGTTTGGGCACCCGGGCAGCATCACAGCCCTCACACAAATCAAATGAGATTTGTGTGGCGCATATGTATCTAGTGCCCCTTTGTATCAATATGTATGTGTTTAAATAGATAAATAAAAATTCATGCTAAAAAGTCATGGTGTTAGAGGTCGACTAAACAAAAGTTTACAAGTGTACATGAAGATTCTAAAATCTGTTAAGAAAACTAGTTATAAAACAGATCACCATAATGGATTGACGTAATGCGTGTGGAATAATACAAAATTCGATTTCAACTTAGGGTACACTCTGATGACATTGTATAGAAGGACAGAAAATTTCTTGATGAAACCATTCAACTCAGACAACTCAATATTACCAGAAAACAATAATGAACACCCCCCGATGTTTATCATAAAACTGGATTGGTGGATAGATATCATCAGTATGAATTTTTGAACTAAAATAGTGGGCTTCTTGAAAGCAAACCATAAATCGTTGACTAAACACAGGATCTTCGTACCTAACCTTCACATAATGATTCAAGTTGAGGAATTCCTCTTAATCAAGTATTCAGATAAAAATTTACCATAAGAATCTATCATCCTACTATTGATGAGGGATTACTAGGCATAGATTGAAATATAGATCCCAGACACATTGTGATCTTTACTTTGTGTCCTTGATTTAATAGTAAGATTTACTTTTACAACGAATGAAATCAGGGTCATTTGGTTCTCAATGCTCTAGATACTTCTTCCACAAGTCATATTAAATTCTTATAAAACATATATGCTACTTATATGAGTTTCAGTAGTTAACTTCTAAATACGATTGAAATTGTTGTTCGTTAAGCTGGAAATTCAGTGACAATTATGCCACTTATTGCATAAACACTTATCAGTAGTACTTTATGTATTTATGGGTTGCAATTCCGCTCATTAACCAAGAGCCATAATCAAGAAATAGCTTAGTTAGATGTAGCATGTCTTTGATATTTATCAGCAGAAAAAAATAAATTGCGCCTTATAGAGAAAGGAAGGTACGACTTTCCAAAATGTTCGCTATTATTCTAGCTGAGGTATATTATCAACTGAAAAGGTGATTCAGTGATCCAATCAGATGCGCACAAACGAGAAAGTCACTTGATGACATTCAGAAATGACCTGAAGGACAGTTACATATCATTTGTTAAGAAATTGATTGATTTTCCAAGGAGTAAACGCGTACATATATAAATGAGTATTTGTGTATATTTTTCGTTAGCCTAATAAACTCACTTCCATTCTTATCCTCTTGCCCAAGTAGTCATGTCTGAAGAAGGGTTAGAGTGTACCAGATTGCATATCAGTATCAGGTGTCGGACATCATGCATCATAACAAGAAGTTTAAATATCTTAGACTTACTCTTAACTCTATCTAGCTCACACAGTCCATCTTCAAGGATCGTATTTTTCCTCTTAAAAAGAAATGGTAAGCGATTTGTATTGAACATTATTAGTGGTGTTCCAAATAGAGTAACAGTTTTTCAGTAAATCCTTCAGATAAAACCTTGAAGTTATATAACCTATCCTCAACTATTATCATATTTGTAACAGCGACTTTTAAAAGTGGTCTTTCATATTTGTTACTGAAGTATTAAGAAGGAAATAGTGAAAAGTACTGGCCGTTAAGATAGCATGGAAGTAAAATGAATTCCAAATCTACACACTATTGATTAAAAGCTTAGAAGCACCACACATTATAATTTAATCAATCCGACCACCTCAGAATTGAAGGAAGAGTTATGATACATCATGATGAAAGCCGAGATTATTCGGAAGTCATCAGGTTGATTCCACTTCTAACAACCAGAACAACAATTATTATGGGTATATGGAATGTTCGGAAGATGTGGGACTCTGGGTAAATCAACCAAATAGCTGAGAGAATGATGACCTACAACTTAATGATACTCGGAACAAGTGAAACCTATTCGACCCAAGATCGAAAAAATGGGATAGATATGGGAGAAATGTTGTACTCCGGTCACGAAAAGGAAAATACTCCAAACATGTTGTCCGAAGAAGCAGGGAAAATACTTATATGATGGGAATCTCATGGATCCAGGATCATCAAGCCATCTATCAAAGCAAAAGAGGAGGGAATCACAATGAATATTATCCGATGTTATGCACCCACCAATGATAACATTGACGACGAAAAAAAAAACAGTTTTACGAGAGACTG